ATACCTAAAAAAGATATATATACTGACCCTGAGCACGAATAAAGTTGTTGGTAAAGCATATGCTTTTCAACCCTCCAGACCCCATCTGTCTATCATTCTTTGTCTTCCATGCACCCCCCTATCCAAGTTGGAACCCTCTTGCAGGTCGAGAGCTCCTGGCAGACGTGCTCCCGATAAAGAATCAATTTCATTGGAGAACAGCCTCCCAAATGCACATTTTAAACTCTTGTTTTCTCCTTCACCTTTGGACCTTTCGCATGTGTTATCTGCTAAACCATTCATACCTATCTGATTGTATGGCTATTCTGTCCACTCCTTTCACATTCCAGTAATATTTTCTATGTTGCAGAAGGTAACCAAGTCTAGCTTAAAGACTTACCAACCTTTCTTTCCCTCAACAGCAATTGGGATAAGTAAAACACAACTCCTGGTATTACTCTCAGAAGAGATCTAGAACAGTGAGTGGGTCTGTTTAAAGTTCTGAAATTATAGGAGACTGTCCAATTAACAGAGTCTGTCTCCCTTAATATGTAAATGATGGAGTAATGAGAATTACAGTTTGTATCTGCTAGAAAACACAACTGAGAACACATTTGTGAAGCGCTGAACAATCTAGAGCCTGGCTCATTGTTATAGCCACTATTCAAGTCTTTAAATATTAGATTAGATGGCTGTTTTTAGGTTTCCAAATTTTATAAAAGGTCATATGACATAAAAAAAAAAAAGACAGTAAACATACCCACTTGAAAAAATAAATTTCCAAAACTCAATTCTTAAGAAAAAAATCCTTGCATTATTTGACAAAGATGTCAAAACAATATTAAGTATGCGCAATAAAAAAAATAGAACAAAGACAAAAAAACCACTAGAAATTGTGGAACCAAAAAAACTTGAAAAACTTTGTAGAATCACAACAGAATTAATGACCAGAAACAATAATCAGAAAACTAGACATATTATTTATAAATATTGAGTCATAAGAAAAAAAAAAAAAGAAAAACATCAACATGTTATACGTAACTTATTAGATACCATTAACGAGACCAATATATTCATGAAAGTAGTCTTCGAAGAAGACTGCAGAGGAAAATTCGTAGAGAGGTTATTTAAAGAAAAAAAAGGACTCACTAAGAACTTCCCGAAGTTCAAGGTAATAAAAAAAAGATACTGCACAATTTCTACCGTGTTTTTTTGTTTTTATTCTATTTTTATTATTGAGCACACAGTATCATTATTGTGACATCTTTGTCAGATAATGCAATCTAGGAGAAATTTACTTTAAAAATAAAAAAGGCTTTCAAATATGAAAATTAAGGGTGTTCGTAATTACCTCTAGAACAGTCCTATAAGAAATACTACATGGAGTCCATTATGTTGACAGACATGGTCACTCCCACCTGCAAACCTAGCAACTTGGTAAGCTGAAGCGGAAGAAGAATCATATTAGGCCAAGAGTTTGAGACCAGCCTGGGTGATATGGTGAGACCCCCTTCTCAAAGAAGAGACCTTTATAATAACAATTCTGTTTTTCAGGGAGAGGGTTTTAAAACCTGCTAGAGCTAAAGACTGACTGGAGTCATTTCGAAAAGGCAGGCTCTCATTCAGGTGGCAAACTTGAAAACCCTTGATTTTGGCTACAAACCAAGAAATGGTTCACCTATTTTGACTCCACTTAAAATTCTGCAGTGACTTCATAACCATCTCAAGCTCCTTCCAGCCATAGTCTAGGAGTGGTTCTGCATATCCAGAGACCCAGAGAAAGATGCCTATTTATGGTTACAGTGGTAGGTCTGCAGAGCTTGGCCTTTACTGTGCTCTCTGAAACAGTTCAGGTGACTCAGTTTCAGCACTGACAGTCACAGTTTGTGGCCAGTTCTGCCACCTAGGTTCCCACAGAGCGACCTGGGGAAATCTCGCCTCAGTAAGAAACACACTCATCCATAGACTTCATATCAGGCCCACCATACACCAACCCTACTGCAGAATACTGCCCTAGTGCTGGCCCTACAGATCATAGTCCTAAAGGCAATTCAGTCTACTCAGAAATAAGGGAAGATTAACAACTCCCCAGGCTACTGGTTACAAGCCGACTAAAGGCAAACTCCACAACAGATCAAGAAGCAACCATGTGACCCACATATAACCCCTCTCCACTGCAAAAGGATTCTATCAGCTAACTGACCCAAGAGAAGATTTTTAACCTGCTGAAATCAGTCTACAAAATTAGAAAATTTAGATTCAATAAATGCCCATTAAAATTTTACTAAAATTTTCAAAGTAATAGAAAATGCAATCTTAAGATTTATATGAAATTACAAGAAACTGAACAGCCAAAGCAGTTTTCAGGATTAAAAACAAAGCTAGGGGCATTATACTTTCTGATTTTAAACTACATTTGAAGACTATTGTAATAAAACAAAATTATCTCTGCATAAAAATGCACACCAGTATCAGTGGAGCAGAACAGAAAGCCCAGAAACAAATCCATCCATGTAAGACCAACTAATCTTTGGCACCAAGAATACACAATGCAGAAAGTACAGTCTCTTCCATGCTTGGGACTGGGAAAACTGAATACCCACAAGTAAAAGAATAAAACTATTTTTTTATACTATATTTAAAAATTATATATAAAATGAGGACTCTAATGTATGACATAAATTCTTAATAATCTTAAAATAGGCCGGGCGCGGTGGCTCACGCCTGTAATCCCAGCACTTTGGGAGGCCGAGGCGGGTGGATCACGAGGTCAAGAGATCGAGACCATCCTGGTCAACATGGTGAAACCCCGTCTCTACTAAAAATACAAAAAATTAGCTGGGCATGGTGGCGCGTGCCTGTAATCCCAGCTACTCAGGAGGCTGAGGCAGGGGAATTGCCTGAACCCAGGAGGCGGAGGTTGCGGTGAGCCGAGATCGCGCCATTGCACTCCAGCCTGGGCAACAAGAGCGACACTCCGTCTCAAAAAAAAAAAATAATAATAATAATAATAATAATAATCTTAAAATATAGAAACCTTAATATTGGTCTTAAAAATGAATTTTTGGATATGACAGCAAAAGTACAGCAATAAAAGCAAATATAAACAAACTAAAGTGTATCAAACTAAAATGCTTCTGCACAACCAATAAAAAAACAGAATAAGAAAACCATATCTAGTAAATGGTATCAAAAATATATAAGAAACTCATACGAATAAAAGACAACAACTATAATAATAATAATAATAGTAGTAGTAGTAGTAGTAAGATTTTAAAATAAGCCAAGGACTAAAGAAACGTTTATTAATGAAAACATACAATTGGGCAACAGGTATATAGAAAGGTGCTCAATGTCACCAATCTGGCAGATGCAAATTAAATTCATAATGAGACTGTATACCTGTGAGGATTGCTAGTATCAAAAAGTAGACTTTTAAGAAGTATTGGCAAGAATATATTTAGAAAAGAAATGCTGTACACCCTTGGTGATGGGTTATTTTTTAGAGACATTATGAAAACCAGTATATAGGTTCCTTTGAAAAATTTTTGATAGTACTACTATACAATTCAAGTATCTCATTTCTGTATATAGAGTAAATTTACTATCTCAAAGAAATACCTACACCTCCATGTTCACTGAGGTATTTTTCACAATTGATTAGATATAAAAAAAAAAATCTAAAGTGTATGTAAAAACTGACTGCACAAAGAAAACATAGTATACATACAAAATATTATTCAGCCATAATAAATAATAAAACCCTGACATTTCTACAACATGGACCTAGATGACATTATGCTAAGTGAAACATGACAGAAACAGAAAGGCAAATACTATATGATCTTACTTCTATGGAGAATATAGTAAGGTTGGACTCTTAGAAGAAGAAATTATAGAGGTGAGTACTAGGTCCTGGAGGTGGGGAAAGTGGGATATATTGTTCAAATAGTACAACTTTTCAGTTATAAGACAAGTAAGTTATGGTAACCGAAGGTATAGCTTTATGATTACAGAAAGTAATACTGTTATGTATGCTGAAAATCTGCTGAGAGATCTTAATTGTTCTCACTACAAAAAAGGTAAGTAATATATTTGTTCATTATGTATACACATATAAAATTAATACATTGTATACAATACATAGGTATTCAATAATTTGTGAAAAAATTCACATTACTGGGATTGTATATATATGTATATATATTTTATATATACACATTTATACATATATATACTTATGGATGACAGTCATAGTAAGATTTATACTAAATAAAATTACGTCATTTAAAATAAAGTTAAAATTGGGAGTTTAATATGTACTCAGCAATGTTTTCAGCTCCCCAGTGACACAGTATAGTTAATAAATGTATGAAGTTGATAAACTGAACTATATTACAGTTGAGAAATTTGACCATATTTACCAACATTTATTTATATGAAAAAAGTAACATTTTGAAGTAACACAGTTTTACAGTTTATTTCATTTACGGAGATGCTTAGTGTTTTGATATATACATTTCTGTACAATCACATTTGAAGACTCCACAGAATAGAAAATTATAAACCAGGAAGCATACATCTTTTTGTGGTGTTCCTGGGATTTCTGATCCAAATTGTAATATCACCAAAACTTAGACAGTATCCAGAAAGAAAACTTAAAAAATGGTTTAAAATATAGAGTTTCTCAAAAATACAGATATTGCTCTTTCCCCCAAAGCAACGGAAAAGCAGTCAAATAACACCTTTTCTTTTAAGTCATGAAAAATACTTTCGTGATCACTGTAAACTCAAAAAAAAACCAAAATGACAAAACAAAAACCCACACACTACTAAAGGGGAAGTACAGTGCTTAGAAAATTCACAAGAATAGGACAAAAAAATGCCCCTATGAAAAAATGATGGCTTCTCAGAAACGATTTCCATAGGAGGAAAGCTTCTGGAAGCATGTTAAAATGTCTGGCTTCCTCCTGGACATTAGGAACCATCATTTGTCATTTGCTTGATTCACTCCCACCTACCTGGGTATTTGGCTACTGTCTCCTGTTTCTTCAAATTCCAGGGCTCTTTTCTTTGCTCCAGACAGGTAATCAAGTCTGGCTTAAAGATAGCAAGACCTGTTTTATTAGAAAAAAATAACATGACTCTTGCTAGGATAATCCGATTACCAGTCTATTACTGTGCTCAGTAGAGAAGAGAGAACATTATAGAAGGCTGTAGAAAATTAATTCCCATCTATTTCCTAACAGAAACTTTGGAATATTTAGAAAGTATTTTAAATTTGTGGGTTCTTAGCTCTATTACTCAGTAATACTGAACCAAAAATCAGTTGTGAAAGCTGCATTTTTAGGTGTGAGTAACAATATTTTACGCTACCAAATTTCTGATATTACCATTAATTTAGACTAAGGTATGCAGATGAGCTCAAAAAAGGGAAAGATTAATGTTAAGATGAAACATCTTCAAGATTATATTCTACCTCAACAGATAACCAATTTTTTTCTTTTTGAAGCAGGATTCTGAAACTCATTTATGCAAAGCAGAACCTCCAAAACAAAAAACAATGAAATATTTAATGTAGAATATGAGTTGTATATTGAAGTTATTCTCACCCAAGGAGACCAGGTTTCTGTAGTTCTCTAACATCACATCCCTATACAAATGCTGCTGAGCAGAGTCCAGGCATTCCCACTCTTCTGGGGAGAATTCTATGGCCACATCCCTGAATGTTAACACTCCCTGAAAAACAAAACATATTTACCAAGTGGCCATAGAAAGAATACTTGACTTGACATCAGGTAAAATGAGAGTAAACAGAGGTAGTTCTGACTTATATGAGTTACTGCTATTATCCAGTAGGATACTTCCCAGGACAGAAATATTCTGTAATGTATCTTTAACTCTGAGAAAAGATGGCATAAGATCACGAAATCAGTGATATGCAACACTTTTCTTGATAATACAGTATAAAATAAAGAACATTAGTACAGGTATGTACATTTCTTAATGCCGTATTTACATAGTACAAGATAAGTGTCTATAGTTCCCATATGGAAACTTCATGGTGAGTTAAGATACTTCTCTAACTTTATTGTGTACAGCAACAAACAGGACATCTTGTTAAGACATAGTTTTTGACTCTGAAGATCTAGAGTAAAGCCTGAGTCTCCAAATTTCTAAGAAGTTTGCCAGTGGTATCATTACTTCTGGCCCAAGAAGAATATTTTGTCAAAAATTCAGAAGTGGCAGAGCATAGGTTTTTAGCTTATTTGACCAGTAAAGAAAGATGAGAGGCTTCATTTTCCAGAGCAAGCTATATGCAAAGAGAAAAGAAGAAGAAAGAAGAGCTATCAGATTAAATGTGGCTTAATGTTGTTTTTGCATAATGCTTGATCAAACTCAAGGTCCCTATTAATAATAAAGAGAAAAACAACTCTAGAGTGAAAAAATGTCAGAGAGCATATTTATCAAGTAATTAAGATCAACTCTATTAAGAGATATTTGTATCATGTGCTGATTAACAAAGGATACAACACTACTGTGCTATTATAAACATTAACACAAAAAAGGGTCAACTTAATCTGAGTCTTGTCATGAAGAAACATCAGTTTTAAGCGAAATTTAAGGTATAAATACTTCCCATGTTCTGTAATTTCTAATGATGTATATAACTTTTTTGGTTAAACATTTCAAAAAAGTTTAAGTTCTGGGATACATGTGCAGAACATGCAGGTTTGTTATATAGGTATACCTGTCTCATGGTGGTTTGCTGCACCTATCAACTCATCATCTAGGTTTTAAGCCCCAAATGCATTAGGTATTTGTCATAATACTCTCCGCCCTCTTCCCCCCCCCCAAATCCCCTGACGGGCTCCGGTGTGTGATGTTCCCCTCCCTGTGTCCATGCGTTCTCATTGTTCAAATCCCACTTATGAGTAAGAACATGCTGTTTGGTTTTCTGTTCCTGTGTTAGTTTGCTGAGAATGATGGCTTCCAGCTTCATCCATGTCCCTAAAAAGGACATGAACTCATTCTTTTTTATAGCTACATAGTATTCCATGGTATATATGTGCCATATTTTCTTTATCCAGTCTATCATCGATGGGCATTTGGGTTGGTTCCAAGTCTGCTATTGTAAATAGTGCTACAATGAACAAATATGTGCATGTGTCCTTTAATAGAATGATTTATAATCCTTTGGGTATATACCCAGTAAGGGGATTGCTGGGTCAAATGGAATTTCTATTTCTAGGTCCTTGAGGAAGCACCATACTGTCTTCCCCAATGGTTGAACTAATTTACACTCCCACCAACAGTGTAAAAGTGTTCCTATTTCTACACATCTTCTCCAGCATCTGTTGTGTCCAGATTTTGTAATGATCGCCATTCTAACTGGCATCAGGTGGTAACTCAGTGTGGTTTGATTTGCATTTCTCTATATGAGTTCAAGTCCTCTATAACCTTGTTAATTTTCTGTCTCATTGATCTGTCTAATATTGACAGTGAGGTCTTAAAGTCTTCCACTATTATTGTGTGGGAGTCTAAGTCTCTTTGTAGGTTGTTAACAACTTGCTTTATGTACCTGGGTGCTTTATGTTCCTGTATTGGGTGCGTATATATTTAGGATCCTTAACTCTTCTTGATGCATTGATCCTTTTACCATTAGGTAATGCCCTTCTTTGTCTCTTTTGATCTTTGTTGGTTTAAAGTCCATTTTATCAGAGATTAGGATTGCAACACTTTTTTTTTTTTTTTTTTTGCTCTCCACTTGCTTGATAAAACTTCCTCCATCCCTTTATTTCGAGCCTATGTGTGTCCTTGCATGTGAGATGGGTTTCCTGAATACAGCACACCAATGGGTTTTGAATTTTAATCCAATTTGCCAGTCTGTGTCTTTTGATTGGGGCATTTAGCCCATTTGCATTTAAGGTTAATATTGTTACGTGTGAATTTGATCCTGCCATTTTGATGCTAGCTGGTTGTTTTGCCTGTTAGTTGACACATTTTCTTCATTGTGTTGATGGTCTTTACCATTTGATACATTTTTGGAGTGGCTGGTACTGGTTGTTCCTTTCCTTGTTTAGTGCTTCTTTCAGAGGCTCTTGTAAGGCAGGCCTAGTGGTGATAAAATCTCTCAGCAACTGCTTGTCCATAAAGGATTTTCTTTCTCCTTTGCTTATGAAGCTTATTTTGGCTGGATATGAAATTCCAGGGTCAAAGTTCTTTTCTTTAAGGGTGTTGAATATTGGTCCCCACTCTCTTCTGGCTTGCAGGGTTTCTGCCGAGAGATCCGCTGTGAGTCTGATGGGCTTCCCTCTGTGGGTAACCCGACCTTTCTCTCTGGCTGTGCTTAGCATTTTTTCCTTCATTTCAACCCTGATGAATCTGACGATTATGTGCTTTGGGGTTCATCTTCTTGAAGAATATATTTGTGGTGTTCTCTGTATGTCCTGGACTTGAATACTGGCCTGCCTTGCTAGGTTGGGGAAGTTTTCCTGGGTAATATCCTGAAGAGTATTTCGCAGCTTGGATTCATTCTCTCCATCACATTCAGGTACACCTATCAAATGTAGATTAGGTCTTTTCACATAATCCCATATTTCTTGGAGGCTTTGTTCATTTCTCTTCACTCTTTTCTCTATTCTTGCCTTCTCATTTTATTTCATTGAGTTGATTTTCAATCTCTGATATCCTTTCTTCTGCTTGGTCAATTCGGCTATTGAAACTTGTGTATACTTCGTGAAGTTCTCGTGCTGTGTTTTTCAGCTCCATCAAGTTATTTATATTCTTCTCTAAGCTGTTTATTCTAGTTAGCATCTCATCTATCCTTTTTTCTAGGTTCTTAGTTTCTTTGCACTGGGTTATAACTTGTTCTTTTAGCTCTGAGAAGTTTGTTATTACCCAACTTCTGAAGCCTGTTTCTGTTAATTCATTGGATTCATTCTCCATCCATCTTTGATCCCTAGCTGGTGAGGAGTTGTGATCCCTTGGAGGAGGAGAGGCATTCTGGTTTTTGGTGTTTTCCTCCTTTTTGTGCTGGTTTGTTCCAATCGTAGTGGTTTTATCTATCTGTGGTCTTTACAGTTGGTCAATTTCGGATGGGCTCTCTGAGTGGATGTCCTTTTTGTAGATGTTAAAGCTATTTCTTTCTGCTTCTTAGTTTTCCTTCTAACAATCAGGCTCCTCTGCTGCAGGACCGCTGGAGGTCCACTCCAGGCCCCACTCACCTGTGTATCGCCCACGGGGGCTGCAGAACAGCAAGGGGTGCCACAGGTTTCTTCCTCTGCTATCCTCATCCCAGAAGGGTACCCACCAGATGTCAGCCTGAGCTCTCCTTTATGAGGTGTCTCTTTGGGTATACAGGGGTCAGGAACTGCTTGAAGAGACAGTCTGTCCCTTACAAGAGCTCAAGTGCTCTGCTGGGAGGTCCACTGTTCCATGCAGCGCTGCTGGGCAGGGACACTTAAGTCTGCTGCAGCTGAACTCATAACTGCCTCTTTTCCCAGGTGCTCTGTTCTAGGAAGGTCTGCTTTATTTATAAGTTCCTGCTGTGCTGCTGCCTTTATTCATAGATGCCCTGCCCTGCACGGAGTAGTCTAGTCACAGTCTGCCAGCAGAGGTGTTGCTGAGCTGCTGCAGGCTCTGCTCAGCTGCTGTGTGAACTGCCTCGGTAGTGGGGGACACCATTCCTCACATTGAGCTGGACGGTCCTGGGTCCAACTGCTTGCTGCAAAACTCTCAATCCAGAACACTTCAGATTGCTTGTTTTGTGGGGCTGGTACCCGCCGAGCCACATCCCCTGGCTCCCTGTCTTAGCCCCCTCCCTTTCAGTTGAATGGGCAGCTCTGTCTCCCAGGCACTCCAGCACCAGCCAAAAAAGGCAGACTAGGCTTATGTGAGTTTCTGTGTGTAGACACAGCACCGGCTGAAAATGCCACGCTGAAAACTTCTGGCGCTTTTCAGCCCAGGAATCTCCTGGTCTGTGGGCAGTGAAAACTTGTTTGGAAATGGAGTGAGCACTCACCCTCTGCACCACTCTCACTGGGAACTGCACTCCAGAGCTGTTCCTATTCAGCCATCTTAGATCCCTCTGTTTCCTGACCAATGTGGTTTTGATTTGTATTTCTCTAATGATCAGTGATGATAAGCTTTTTTCATGTTTGTGGGCCGCATAAATGTCTTCTTTTGAGAAGAGTCTGTTTGTATCCTTTGCCAACTTTTTGATGGGGTTGTTTTTTTCTTGTAAATCTGTTTAAGTTTCTTATAGATTCTGGATATTAGCTTTCTGTAAGATGGATAGACAGGAAAAAATTTTCTCCCATTCTGTAGGCTGCCTGTTCTCTTTGACGATAGTTTCTTTTGCTATGCAGAAGCTCTTTAGTTTAATTAAATCCCATTTGCCAATTTTGACTTTTGTTGCCATTGCTTTTGGTGTTTTAGTCATAAAGTCTTTCGCCGTGTCTATGCCCTGAATAGTATTGCCTAGGTTTTCATGGTTAGGTTTTACATTTAAGTCTCTAATCCATCTTGAATTAATTTTTGTACAAGGTATAAGGAAGGGGTCCAGTTTCTGTTTTCTGCATATGGCTAGTCAGTTTTCCCAGCACCATTTACTAAATAGAGAATCCTTTCCCCATTTCTTGTTTTTGTCAGGTTTGCCAAAGATCAGATGATTGTAGATGTGTGGTGTTATTTCTTAGCCCTCTTTTCTGGTCTATTGGTCTATATATCTATTTTGGTAGCAATACCATTCTGTTTTTGTTACCATAGCCTTGTAGTATAATTTGAAGCCAGGTAGCATGACGCCTCAAGCTTTGTTCTTTTTGCTTAGGATTGTTTTGGCTATATGAGCTCTTTTTTACTTCCATGTGAAATTTAAAGTAGTCGTTTTCTAATTCTGCAAAGAAAGTCAATGGTAGGTTGATGGAAAATAGCATTGAATTTATAAATTATTTCGGGCAGTGTGGCCATTTTCACAATATTGATTCTTTCTATCCATGAGCATGGAATTTTTTTCCATTTCTTTGTGTCCTCTCTTATTTCCTTGCTTTAGCATCCTAGAGAGGGAGTCTCTTCTAATTATTTTTCTATTCAGAACTTTCTGATTTATCCTGGGCGACAAATACCATTCTCATTAAATGTGCATTTTTATAAGCAGTTTTGCATAGATTTAATGGAAACTAAACAGTACATGATCTCTTTCTTCACTGATAACCAAGAACCTATCCCATCTCAAACAGGAATCTTGGGCATTCACAGATTTCTATGTTTGACAGCCACAAAAGAAACATTTGGAATGTTGCAGATTATAAATTCACAGTGACAATTTTTTCATGGCTTATTAAAAGCTGGAATGTAGAGAATAGAGAAGGCTCTGATATATAAGGAAAAAGTATTTCTCAGAGCCCCTTGACTATCATGAAAATCAAAGGTGAAAAAGGAGTTGAACTGACTAGGCAAGACCATCATAAGTTGAGAAGTAAACATCTGCAAGTTCTACACACATATTTCAGAAGACAAAGTGGACACAATCTCTGACCTGGGACACATTCACCTCAGAATAAGCCATTTTTTTCTTTTTCTCCTAATTCCCTGTGATCCTTTTCCAGGTGTGATCATCTGTACAAATTACACCTGTTTCTTGAGAGTATGTCTTTGAAGCATCAGCAAAACTCCTTCCCTTGAAACCACCACACCCGGAGGCAGAAGGACCTAGAATTGCAGATAAAGACTGCCTTTGTGTGTCCTTTATCACAGGAGAGGTTCACAACCAGTAAACTCCTACATAAAAACCAAAATTTTTTTTTTTTTTTTTTTTTTTTTTTGAGACGGAGTTTCACTCTTGTTACCCAGGCTAGAGTGCAATGGCGCGATCTCGGCTCACCGCAACCTCCGCCTCCTGGGTTCAGGCAATTCTCCTGCCTCAGCCTCCTTAGTAGCTGGGATTACAGGCACGCACCACCATGCCCAGCTAATTTTTTGTATTTTTAGTAGAGACGGGGTTTCACCATGTTGACCAGGATGGTCTCGATCTCTTGACCTCGTGATCCACCCGCCTCGGCCTCCCAAAGTGCTGGGATTACAGGCTTGAGCCACCGCGCCCGGCCAAAAACCAAAATTTGAGTTTCCCCTTTCCAACACTGAGTTGCCCTTCTCTGCCACAGATGCCAGCAATTTCTACTGCAGCAATGGGAATATGGGCTGCACTGATCTGCCCCTACCAAACCCAAGCAGAACAGTCTCTATGACCTTCATCATTTGGAACTAAAGCTACCCTCACCTCTCATAAATGTATCTGAAAGCACTGGTGGTTAACCCTGGGCTCACCTTAGCCTCACATGTGGCACTTAATTCAAACAACATAACTGCAGAGGGGGAAGTGGAGCAAGATGACTAAATAGCACCCTCCAGCAACCAACCTCCAGATAAAACTAAACAGAATGACTATCCAAATAAGAAACATCTTCATAACAACCAAAACTCTGGGGAGTGATTACGGTACCAAGTTTTAGCATCACATCAAGAGGCACTCAAGAGGGTAAAAAAAGAAAGCTGTTACCTGCCAACAGCACCCCTCCTCCATTCCCTGGAAGTGCAGCTTGGCGGCTTGTGCTTACAGAAGGGAGAGTGCAGTGATTATGAGACTATGCAGTAAAACTCAGTGCTGCCTGTCACAGCAGAAAAAACATGGGGCAGAGTTCAGTCAGTGCCCACAGGGGGAGCACTTAGACTAGACTAGTTGAGAGAAAGTATCCATTTCAGTGGTCAAAACCTGAGTTTCACGTAGCCCCACCACCATGGGTGAAAGCACTCTGGGGATCTAAATAAACTTGAAAGGCAGTCTAAGCCACTGGGACTGCAATTCCTGGGCAAATCCTGGGGCTTTGCTAGGCTGAGTCAGAAAGCTTGAAGTGCATGTGACCTTGTGAGATGCCAACTGGGATGGCCAAGAGAGTACATGCATCCCCGACCCCAGGCACAGGCAGTGCAGTTCACAGCTCCAGGAGAAAATATTTCTTTCTACTTGAGGAGAGGGGACAGAAGAGTAAAGACTCTGTCCTGCAACTTGGATATCATCTCAGCCACAGTAGAATAGAGCACCAGAGTAAGTGCTGAGGCCCCCATTCTAGGGCTTAGTTTTTAGGTGACAGTTCTTAGACATAGCCTGGGCCAGAAGAGAACATACTGCCTTGATGGGAAGGTATCAGCTCTGGCAGGATTCAACACCTACTGACTAAAGGGCCCTTGGGCCTGGAATAAACATCAGCAGTAACCAGGTAGTACTTGCTGCAGCCCTTGTGGGCTGAGACCCAGTGCAGTGCAATCCAAGCTGTGGCAGCCATGTGGGGAAGACAGGGAAGAGTACAGGGGACTTTGTCTGGAAGCCTGATTACCAGCTCGGCCCCAGTGGGGTAGCAGTAACAAGATGGCACCTGAGGTCTCTGATTTCAGGCCTTGGCTCCTGGATGACATTTCTGGAACCACCCTAGGCCAGAGAAGAACCCACTGTCCTGAAGCAAAAGCAGCAGACCTGGCAGAGTTCACCACAAGCTGACTGAAGATCCTTGGGTCTTCAGGGGATACCAGCTAGCCTGGCAATACTTGCTGTGGGCTCTGGGTGGTGACGGCAATGGGGAGTGTCTTCTTATGCTTGAGAAAAGAGTAGGAAGGATGTTTCACAGCCTCAGTGCCAGCTAAGCCACAGCAGAATAGGGCACCAAGTAGATTCCTAAGGTGCCCTATTCTGTTCTTGCTATCAAATGACATGTTCTTGCTACCAAATTGCACTTTCCTATGCCCAGCCCAGGATGGGTAACAGAGCTCACTGCCCTGAAGGAAAGGACATGAGGCTGGCTGCATTCATCACCTCCTGACTGAAGAGACTTGGGTCTTGAATGAACATCAGCAGTAGCTAGGTGGTGTCACTGTGGACCTTATGTGTGACCCAGTCCCGTGCTGGCTTTGGGTCTGACTTAGTGTAGTTCTAGTGATGGTGGCCACAGGGGTACTTGTGTTACACCGGCCCTGGTTCCAGGCAGCTCAGCATGGAGAGAGAGAGAGAGAGATTCCATTTATTTGGCAGAAGGAAAGGAAAGGAAAAAAACAAAAAAAGAAAAGAAAAGGAAAGGAAAGGGGAAAGGAAAGGAAAGGAAAAGGAAGGGAAAGGGAAGGGGAAGGGAAAGGGGAAGGGGAAGGGAAAGGGAAAGGGAAAGGGAAGGAAAGGAAAGGAGTCTACCTGGTAACCTAACCCAGAGACTCTCTTGGATCTTACCAAGACCACCAAAGTGGTACCTCTACAAGCCTGCAAGCATCACAGAGTTATTCAGGTTAGGGTGTCCCCTAATGCAGCTATGACTGCAATGTACAAAGACTTAGATTACAACACTCAATTCCCTTTGAATATTTGGAAAGCCTTTCTAAGAAGAACAAGTATTAAACAGCCCAGAATGCAAAGACTAAAATAAATACCTAACTCATTAATGCTCAGACATCAATGAACATCCACAAAAATCGAGACTATTCAGGAAAACACAACCTCATTAAATGAACTAAATAAGGCACTAATGTGCAAATCCTGAGTGACAGAGATAAGTAACCTTTCAGACAGGAAATTCAAAACAACTATTTTCAAAAAAGCTGAGCAAAATTCAAAATAACAACAACAAAAAAAGAAATTCACAATCTAATCCAATAAATAAATTTATTTAAATCATTTTGAAGAATCAAGCAAAAATTATCATGCTGAAAATTCAGATGACACTGAAGAATGCAGAGTCTCTAAACAGCAGAACTGATCAAGAAGAAGAATTATGAGTTTGAACACAGGCTATTTGAAAAAAATACAATCAGATGAGACAAAAAAAAAAGCCTCAAGAGGGCAACTCTAAGAGTTATGGCCTTAAAGAGGAGGTAGAGAAAAAGTTCTGGGTAAAAAGTTTATTCAAAGAGATAATGAGAACTTCCCATACCTTAAAAAAAAAAAAAAAAAAAAAAATTAATATTCAAATACAAGAAGGTTATAGAATACCAAAAAAAAAAAAAACCATATTAATATTCAAATACAAAAAGGTTATAGAATACCTACCACAATTCATTTAAAAATGACTACCTGAACGTCTTTAATTATAAAACTCTCAAAGGTCAAAGATAAAGGATTCTAAAAGCAGCAAGAGAAAAGAAACAAGTAACATTCAAAGAAGCACCAATATATCTGACAGTGGACTCTTCAGTGGAAATCTTACAGACCAGGAGATGGTGACATGACATACTTAATGTAAAGGAAAAAACTTTTACCCTAAAATAACACATTAGGCAAAAATATCGTTCAACCATGAAAAAAAACCCACAAAACTGACAAACGAGCTGAGACATTTTGTTAATACCCCCTGATCTGTCCTACAAAAAATGTTAAAGGCAGTTCTTCAGTCTAAAAGAACAGGACATTAATGAGCTTAATGAACAATAAGAAAACATCTGGTACAAAACTCACTGGTAATATCAAGGACACAAACACTAAATTTTTTAGTATGTAAATGTGGTATGTAAACAATTCATATTTTGAGAAGACTAAAAGATTAGTCTATAACTACTAATAATTATTAAAAATAATAACTCTTTACCTCCTTAAGGCCATAACTCTTATATTTCTAATTTTGAGGCTGTTATAGTTACTAAAAATACTAACTACAAGATTAAGACACTGACAGTATAATAAGATATAAATAGAAACAAAATGTTAAAAAGTTGGGAGATAAACTGTAGCTTTTACTAGTTTTCTCTTTGCTTTTTTGTTTGTTCATTTTTACAATAAGTGTTGCCATCAGTTTAAAATAACAGGTTATAAGATCTTATTTGCAAGCCTCATGGTAACCTCAAATTTTTTAAAAAAAACCTATAATAGACACACATACATAAAATCAAAAAATTAAAACATACCATTAGATAAAATCATCTTTACTAAGACAGGATAAATGGAAGAGAGGAGAGAAAAAAAGACCACAAAACAAGAAATTAGATAATAGAATGGCAGACATAAGTATTTACTTATTAATAATAACACTGACTATAAATTAACTCCCCAATTAAAAGACGTAAATTGGGGAAATGGGTAAAACAAACAAACAAACAAAAAACAAGTGTAGTTTTTTCAAACAGTCTGTTTTCTGCAAGACACACACTTTATCTATAAAGACAGAGAAAGACTGCAAATAAAAAGACAGAAAAAGATATTCCATGCAAATGGAAACCAGAAAAGAGCAGGAATAGCTATACTTATATTAAACAAAATAGATTTCAAGACAAAAACTATAAAAAGAGACAACAAAAGTTATTATAATAAAGTGGTCAATTCAGCAAGAGAATATAACAATTGCAAATTTATATGCACCTAACACTGGAGAACTCAGATATATGAAGCAAGTATTAAAGCTAAAGAGAGAGAGATCAACCCCAATACAATAATAGCTAGAGAGTTCAAGAAACCCACTGTCAGCAAGAGACAGATCATCCAGATACTAAAATCAACAAATAAACATTGGACTTAATTTGCACTATGCATCAAATAGACCTAATAGATATTTATAAAGCATTTTATCAGCAAGCTACAGAATACTAATTCCACACCTCAGGGCCTGGGTTATTCTCAAGGATAGACCATATGTTAGGTCACAAAGTAACTCTTAAAATAATCTCCCCCAAAATAAAATTATATCAAGTATTTTCTCTGATGTTAACAGAATAAAACTAGAAATCACTAACAGAAATTATAAAAACACATTGAATTTAAAATATGCTCCTGAATGACTAGTGGGCCAACAAAGAAATTTTTAAAAATTTAAATGTCCTTGAAACAAATCAAAAAACATAACAAAACTATAAATACAGTGAAAGAAGTACTAAGAAGGTTTATAGCAGTAAGTGCCTACATCAAAAAAAGTTTTTTTTAAAAATCCCTAAATAAACTATTGATATATCACATAGAACTAGAAAAGAACCAAACCAAAAATTAGAAGGAAAATAAAAATTATAGCAGAAATAAATGAATACAAAACAAAAAATTCAAAAGATAAACAGAGTGAAAAGTTCATTTTTTGAAAAAAAAAATTTACAAAATGTGAGATTCAGGGTCCTACGGTGTTTGAATTACTTTCAGGTCTGAAGATGCCAAGTGCATTGAAAGAGGGAGCTAGAATGGCTGACTGCTGTGCTGTTGAAGCTATTTGTCTAGAAATGTAGTTGAACTGCTATGGAAGGGTCTGTGTATCACAAACAGGCAGAGAAATATTCTGCCTGCAGATATGGGGGCAAGCCAAAGAGAGAAAAGCCTCTCTGAAGTAAAGCCTGTGCGTTATCTCGTGTTTATATCCTGTCTTGTAATTCTGTACAGTGTTTGGAACAACATAATTAAAAACAAAACTCCAACCTCAGAGACACTCTAAAATGGCAGAAAACTGTTTTATTACATAATTGAACCAAAATTTGATATGCATCACAGGCAATCTGCTAAGAGATTACAAAAGCACAAATAAAAATCACCATATTTAGTCTTGAAGTAGAAGACTTAACAGCATAATTTGTCATATATAGTTTACCCTAAATTAACCTGGTAATTGAGAAGGCTATCTGTATATTGGTTATATTCAATGAAAATTTAAATTGGTTATATTCAAAAGCAAAATAAGGTTTCCTTGGCTTTATAATCTTTTATGAAGTTACCTACTGTCCAACAGAAATGTCAACCATTCACATTTCAAAGCAATGGTTTCCTGGTCCTAGAGAAAGACATTTCTAAATTAAAAAGATTGACAGGCCGGGCGCGGTGGCTCAAGCCTGTAATCCCAGCACTTTGGGAGGCCGAGGCGGGTGGATCACAAGGTCAAGAGATCGAGACCATCCTGGTCAACATGGTGAAACCCCGTCTCTACTAAAAATACAAAAAAAAATTAGCTGGGCATGGTGGCGCGTGCCTGTAATCCCAGCTGCTCGGGAGGCTGAGGCAGGAGAATTGCCTGAACCCAGGAGGCGGAGGTTGCGGTGAGCCGAGATCGCGCCATTGCACTCCAGCCTGGGTAACAAGAGTGAAACTCTGTCTCAAAAAAAGATTGACAAAGTCTTATTTGCCTATTTAAATGGTTTATATATATTTAATAGAGACATAAATATACATACAAAAATTTTCTAAAATTATTTCAAAAAATGAGAGCAAAATGTCTTCTTTTATCTTCAAGTTGGATAATTAAGTCTGGTATTTCTTTTATTTGTCTTTACAACAGCCAAGTCTTAGGCCATGACCTTGAACTCACGGACATCTGATTTCCAGTAGGCATTTGGATCAGGCACCTGAGGAGTGGCACTGGGTACAATTTGTTCACACGGAAGAAGTTTAGTCAGGCAGTAAGGGCAGAAGAAAGATGCTATAAAGGACTGTTAATCTGAAATAATCTGAATAACCAATAAAGCCTCAAAAACCAGTTTTAGAGAACTTATTCAAGTGAAAAGCTAGAAACAGTCATCCAGGAGACAAAGGCTCTAGTGAAATGAAATGAGTGCTCCATAGGTAAAAATTCTTATTTCTACAGGCAAAAAACAAAGCAATTTAACAAGATTACAGTATTTTCTATACAAAGCTGGTTATCAGTTACAGTGTGTTTTTCCTACTTTTTACAACTGTTTTTTTTTTTTTTTTTTTTTTTTTTTTGAGACGGAGTTTCACTCATGTTACCCAGGGTGGAGTGCAATGGCGCGATCTCAGCTCACCGCAACCTTCGCCTCCTGGGTTCAGGCAATTCTCCTGTCTCAGCCTCCTGAGTAGCTGCAATTACAGGCACGCGCCACCAAGCCCAGCTAATTTTCCGTATTTTTAGTAGAGACGGGGTTTCACCATGTTGACCAGGATGGTCTCGATCTCTTGACCTCGTGATCCACCCGCCTCGGCCTCCCAAAGTGCTGGGATTACAGGCTTGAGCCACCGCGCCCGGCCCACAACTGCTTTTTTTTTCCTTTTCAACGTAAGAGTGTACTTAACATTTCATCTTAAGACAGTGCAATAGCCATAGGTAAGAGGGAGTTTAATCTATAATGAAAGTCAATAGTGAAGGGGAAAAAGGTATTCCATGGAGCACTTCAACCACTTACAGCACCTGACAAAATAATGCAGATGTGAAAGTAGGTATAATCCATCAACAGAAAAACAAAGATTACAGCTGCCTTGTTACTGCTGCCTGTCATATTACCCAGATCTTGTATTTATCTCCCTTTAAGGTCCAGAATAATTTAAAGTGTCAAACAGCTTAAATGTTGAATTATTTAGTTTCACAGGACTTATGAGCAGGGGACAGTAGAGAGTTAGTGGAAAGACTAATTTGTGCTACAAACAGTGGCCCAGAAAGGGTTAGGCCCTGACTTATTTCAGTGTCTATGCAGGTAGAAAAGACTATCATCAGGTGACAGGTGACTCAGAAGCCCAGTTGAGTGGATGGACCAGATTGTTGCCCCAGATTTAGAGTCTGGGGACAGGGATAAGTTTAAAGTCCTCTAGGTACTTGTGTTTGGCTGAAAACTCTAGGAACAAAGAAAATGTGGATGCAATTTGTGAGCGTGGAAATTTGTCCTAAGAGGGGTTTGAGCACATTATTATGTAGTGTGCATATGTGCAGATGGGCATAATCATATACTGGTAGCTAAATAAGAGAAGGAGTCTGCCCCATAACTCATTTCCTATGTGTCCTCAGTTCCTGTTGACCTTGTGAGAAACATGGAATCACAGAACAATTTACAGTGTGGCAGTCTATGTGCAGTAGAACAGAACCTCCCTTTTTTCAGACACCTGGAGTCTCCCTTCAGCCCAGAGCCTGCCTGACACATGCTAAGTGATTCACAGGCACGCACATGTCCTTGGCTCCTCTTATGTTATTTGTTGTAGATGAATGACCCAAGTGTCAAAAACATGAGCAAAACATCTCCATTTTCTTTTAAGTAACTCAGGGCATATTGTCAGAAATTATTACAGCTTAAGCATGAAGTTGTTTTTACCCCAGCTTTGTTGGAAAATTATCAAAAAAAGAGAAAATGAACAAATTAGCAACTATGTATTAGTATAAGGAAGAGATGGAAGCCTTTGACAACTATGCCATGAATCTACATGTTGTAATATGTAAGTAATAAAGCAGGATACAACTGCATTAAGAGATCAGATAATGTTGTTTTCAGATAGTTTATATGTGTTTACTATAAATTTCTGTGCCACAAATACCCCCGCTTATAGGTATTTTTTTATGGTAGTTTGCTGCACAGATCAATCCACCACCCAGGTATTAAGCTAAGTGCCCATTAGCTATTCTTCCTGATTCTCTACCTGCCTACTGTCTCCTGATAGGCCCCAGGGTATGTTGTTCCCCGGATGTGTCCACGTATCATCATTCAGCTTTCACTTATTAGTATGAGAGCATGCAGTGTTTGGTTTTCTGTTCTTGTGTTAGTTTGCTGAGAATAACGGCTTCCAGCTCCATCCATGTCCCTGTCAAGGACATGACCTTTTTCCTTCTTATGTCTGCATAGTATTCCATGATATATATGTACCACATTTTCTTTATCCAGTCTACTGTTGAAAGGCATTTGGGTTAATTCCATGTCTTTGCTATTGCAAACATATACACACACACACACACACACACATACACATTTACTTTTTAAAACAGTATACTGGTAGGCCGGGCGCGGTGGCTCAAGCCTGTAATCCCAGCACTTTGGGAGGCCAAGGCGGGTGGATCACGAGGTCAAGAGATCAAGACCATCCTGGTCAACATGGTGAAACTCCGTCTCTACTAAAAATACAAAAAATCAGCTGGGCATGGTGGCGCGTGCCTGTAATCCCATCTACTCAGGAGGCTGAGGCAGGAGAATTGCCTGAACCCAGGAGACGGAGGTTGCGGTGAGCCGAGATTGCGCCATTGCACTCCAGCCTGGGTAACAAGAGTGAAACTCCATCTCAAAAAAAAAAAAAACAACAGTATACTGGTAATTAAAAATAAATTTTAAAAACATACTTTAAGAGCACTGAACCTATTAAACTGTAATCATAAGTGTTTCATGCTCAACAAACAACTGTAGTTTAGTATTTGTCATAAATAATTCTTTGTTGGCTGTGTAAATTTCTTATTTGGTATTTTAAAAAAATGTTTATTACTTCAAATGAGTGCCCATAATATGGTAAAGATAAAGGAGATTTCAAATGAAAAAGGAACTCACAGAATTCACGTTTTCAGAAAAATGTTACAGATATAATTGGTTAGAATTTACATGAAGGTAGATGTCTTTATACAAACACATGAGACAAAAAAGCAGAGCAAAACTATGGTTTGCACCAGGCAAGATAAGAAAAGAAAGGAGTGAAAGAAACAAATCCTGGTAAACAGTGTTAAAAACTGTAAGTTTAGGTGGCCCTAGAAAGGCCTTACTAAGAATTAAGAGGTTTAGGTAATTAAGTAATAGAGAGTAACTAAGTAGTTTTGTAAAGAGTAAACAGACGTACATTTTTGTAGGATTAAAATGTTAATGGTTTTACTAAACTATTATTTAATCTATTCCAGTAATTGACATATCCTTATTATTGTTATCTCAGTTAACTACACTGATAAATGTTTTAATTTTCAAGTCAGGATATTACTTCTGTTTCAACATACTCAACAATAAAATAAATAATCTGTTATATTATTACTTCTGTTTCACAAATGAGAGCTGTGAGACACAAACAGCCTGTGTAACTCATAAAAGTTGACTTTTTAATTGTGGGCATAAGTTTCAGGCCCTTTTTTAAGCCAACTTTTTTCTCTATTAGATGCATTTTGTCACATTTTCAGCTGTAACTCTAGAAATGTCTGTATCTTCACTCCTGCTCACACTGCATTTTGATGTCATGAGTTACTATCTTAACACTTCTCAGAACAGTGCCTGGCATATTGTACATAGCATTATTAAACATGATTCCCAAAGGAAAAGAATAAAAATATAATTTCTATTTGTGGATGATGCAATATGCCTAGAAACCCAAGAGATTCAAAAAATACCAAGATTTAACATAGTGGCAGGCTATAAAATAAACCTGTTTATGAAATAAATATAAAAATCAATGTTGAGATACCACTTCACACACGAGAATGCCTATCATACAAAAAACAGCAACAACATAATGCCTAAGAGCAAGTGTTATAAAGAAGAGGGAGAAATTAGAATGCTTTTTAACTCCTGGTGAAATGTAAAATGGTGCAGCTGCTATAAAAAACAATGTGGACATTTCTTGAAAAAAAAAAAAAAAAAAAAAATAAAATGTACATTCTCCTATGTTTAGCATAGAATATGATCCAGCTATTTCATTACTAAATATATACCCAAAAGAATTAAAAACAGGGGATTGAAGAAATATTTGTATGCTTGTGTTTATAGTAGCACTATTCACAATAGCCAAAAGCTGGAAGCAACCCAAGTCTTCAGCAATGAATGAATAAACAAAATGTGGTTTTTACATGCAATGAAATATTATTAAACCTTAAAGAGAAAAATAAATTTGACACATGCTGAACCTTGAGGACATTATGCTAGCTGAAACAAGCCAATTCCAAAAGAACAAATACTGTATGACTCCACTCACATAATTGACCGAGAATGGTAGAATTCAGAGTAGGAAAGTTAAAGTGGAGAATGGGAAATACACAGAGTTTTAACTTTGCAAGACAAAAAGAATCATGAACAAGAATGGCAGTTATGGTTGCAAAACAGAGTGAATGTACTTTATTGTCACTTTATGTACACTTTTAAAAATTTTTTTATTTAGTTTTGAGATGGAGTCTCACTGTGGCCCAGGCTGGAGTGCAGTGGCGCAATCTCGGCTCACTGCAACCTCCGACACCCGAGTTTAAGCAATTCTCCTGCCTCAGCCTCCTGACTAGCTGGGACTACATGTGTATGCCACCATGCCCGGCTAATTTTTTTTGTACTATTTATTAGAGATGGGGTTTCACCATATTGTCCAGGCTGGTCTCAAATGCCTAACCTCGTGATCCACCCACCTCAGCCTCCCAAAGTGCTAGGATTATAGGCATGAGCCACTGTGCCCAGCCTATGTACACTTAATAATGGACTAAAATAATAAATTCTATGTTATGCATATTTTACCATGTTATTTTTAATAACTTTCATATAGAAAACCAATGAAAAATTTAGCAAATATAATGGGGGGGAAGATGACATTACCAAAACTACAATAAATACATATAGGATAAAATTTTAAAGAGACATGTAAAAAACATAAAAGAACAACCTTAAAAAACTTTAAAAGACCAAAAAAAAAAAACCTTGAAAATTTTGTGGCCAGGTGTGGTGGCTCACACTTGTAATCCCAGCACTTTGGGAGGCTGAGGTAGGCAGGTCACAAGGTCAGGAGTTCGAGACCAGCTTGATCAACATGGTGAAACCCGATCTCCACTAAAAATACAAAAATTAGCCAGGCGTGGTGGCAGGCGCCTGTAATCCCAGCTACTCAGGAAGCTGAGGCAGGAGAATCGCTTGAACCCAGAAGCTGGAGGTTGCAGTGAGCTGAGATCACGCCACTGCACTCCAGCCTGAGTGACTCCACCTCAAAAAAAAAAAAAGGTAACATCCTAGAGACATCGATTTTAACACAATTTTAGGTATTTAACACAACAGACAAAAATTGGATGAATAAAACAGTTGGCTCATAAATTTGAAAATAATATAAAAATAGAAATATACACTAACACTACACAGAGATACCTATTTTTACCTCTCAATCGTAAAAAAATTCCACAATATTTAGTGATGCTGTAAAAAACAGACATCCCTGTGTAATCAAATTAGAAGAGAATATACAAAATAACTAAGCATTAATTTTGAATCCTGGTAATTCAATTCTATGACTATATCATGCAACAGAGCTTTAAAAACATTAAAGAAATACTTCCAAGGTTATTCCCTGTGACTTTATGGGTCACAGCAAAGTAACAGAGCAGCTATGTTTATTTATAGGGCACAAGGTGAATAACCTCATGCCACCATCTTATTAGAACACTCAGCAGCCATTAAGATAGAAGAGAAAGACCTCTGTGTGTCTGTATAAAGCCTTGGTCACAACATATTATAAAGCGTTGTGTTAGTGTGAGAACATGATTATAGTAAGAAACGTATTTTGGTCTCTACCCCAGCCAGTTCAATTCCTGAGGTTCTAAGCAACCTCATCTTTCTCCCCTTTGGAGACAAACCTGAAGATAAGTCTTTCTTTCACTGCAGACACCAACCAGAAACTGAGGTTTGCTTTCAGACGTGGGTGGGCATTCAGGGAAGGCTACCCTAGCATCCAGGGCAAGGCTTTCCGTGCAAGCAGAAGCCAGCCCAAAACAGCTATTTACTGAGTCTCCCTATATACTAATGCCTGCTGTACATCTGTGCCTCCTCCACAGAGCTTGGCAGCTCGTGTATTTATGCCTAGGTGGGTGTTCCAAGACAGACTTCTCCTACTGCTTCCACCTTGTGCTGGATACACATAATCTATTAACAATGAGAAATAAGATACAATTTTTTTATCTGATTAATGTGACCAACCTCTAAATTATTAGGTCCCAAGGCACAGGAATGAGGAAACAGTCATGTCCCACCCACTCCCTGTATTAGTGTGTTTTCATGCTGCTAAAAAAGGCATACCTGAGACTGGGCAATTTACAGACGAAAAAGGTTTACCTGGACTTACAGTTCCACATAGCTGGGGAGGCCTCACAATTATGGTGGGATGCAAGAAGGAACAAGTCGAGTAGCACCTCCACAGGCAGACAAGATACCTCATCAAGCATCTCCCTGACAACACAGCCAGGTATCTCCACAAAGATGGGAAAAAACCGGAGCAAAAAAGATGAAACCATCAAAGACCAGAAGGATCACAACTCCTCAACAACACAGGATCACAACTTCACCAAGGAGTGCGACAAAGTGGCAGAAACAGGCTTCAGAAGGTGGATAATAAACTTTTCTGAGCTAAAGGAACACATTATAACTCACTGCAAAGAAACCAAAAACCTTGAAAAAAAAGGTTAGATTAAATGCTAACTAGAATAACCAGCTTAGAGAAGAACATAAACAACTTGATGGAGTTGAAAAACACAGCATAAGAACTATGTGAAGCAAATACAAGTTTTAATAGCCGAATTGCTCAAGCAGAAGAAAGGGTATCAGAGATTGAAGATCAACTCAATGAATTAAAAAGAGGAAGGCAGCTTTGTAGGGACATGGATGAACCTGGAAACCATCATTCTCAGCAAACTGACAGAAGAGCAGAAGATCAAACACCGCATGAGAACACATGGACACAGGGAGGGGAGCACTACACACTGGGGTCAGTTGGGGGGAAATAGGGGAGGGATGGTGGGGGGTGGGGAGCTGGGGAGAGATAGCAAGGGGAGAGATGCCAGATGTAGGCGATGGGGAGGAAGGCAGCAAATCACACTGCCACGTGTGTACCTATGCAATAATCTTGCATGTTCTTCCCATGTACCCCAAAACCTAAAATGCAATAAAATAAATAAATGGAAAAAAAAAAAAAAAGAGGAAGGCAAGACGAGAGAAAAAAGAGTGAAATGAACAAAGCCTCCAAGAAATATGGGATTATATGAAAAGACCTAATCTACGCTTGATCGGTGTACCTGAATATGATGGGGAGAATGAATCCAAGCTGGAAAA